GTATTTGGAGAGGCAAAGGGACTTCGTACAGCAGCCATGCGGACCAGTTGCCTCCTGCCACCTCCTGTTTTCACTCCTCTTACGGATGCTTCAGGAGTCCTGCGTCCTCTGGAGCCTGGAGTACGCCCAGGTGTACCTGTTACTCTGGGTGTGCGTCTGGGTGTTGCAGCCCGATGAGGTGTACGTCCTGGGGTGCAAGAATTCGATGCTCCAGCATTTTCTCCATCACGACCCGGGGTCGCTACCAAACACTCTTCACGGGAAAATTCTCTGGTCCTCTGCAACCTCTGAGAGAGGGAGAGAGAGAGAGAGAGAGAGAAAGAAAGAAAATAACAACTCTAGAATAACTGACTGGTGGCTTTTGTTGAGACTGATAATAATAAAAAATAGGCAATTTCACACATAACAGTTAATCTACCTGATACACTCCGGTGATAGAATTACGAGCACTACGAGTAAGTTTGTGGACTGTGCTGGTCTTTGGTTGCTCCTTCATGGTTTCCCAGGTCGGATTCTCAGGGAGGGAGTTGGTCTGGACAGATCGCAGTGGGAGTCGCTTCCTCAGTGACATTCTCAGAGAGTTGAGTGAAGATGAGGACCGAAGTTTGCGGAAACGGTCCGGGGCTTCTGGGGAGCTCTCTGCTCCATCAGACTCATCCAGGACTGTGTGTGCCCGCCAGACTCCAACCACAGCTTTACCAACAGCATCCATGACTAAACAGGCTATATGACCGAGCTGAGAAAAAAAGTGATCTGTATGAATAAGTTTTATGAAAACAACATTTTTAATACTACAGTTTCAAAATCTCACAATATAAAAAAAACCTATATTCTAATCTGGCTCAGCATGCTATGAAATTTGAATATTTCTTTGGACTGATAGACCAAAATAAGAAAAAGTTACAAGTTAAGACAAATCTTTCTTTTTTTAATCCTCGAATTTGGGGAAATTATTTCAGAGTCCCTTTGTCACTGTCAAAAAATTTGAAAAATGTCAATGAACAAAGGACGGAAAAAGTGAAAAATGAGCCGTAACAACCATACAATCAAGCAGCAGTAATCGTGTTAGTAAAAGCTCCGTGGCTTTTGTTAGATAGGGACAATGCTCCTGGTCAAGTGTCCAACTTAACCCAGGAATGGCTTGCCCTGAGGAGGGAATAACAGCCTTAAGCAACTTTTGAGAATTAAAGTTTACCTTTCACTTGCCGTTATATAAAAACGCTGTCAAATTGTGCCATTGTTGTCAAATGCTGCCTTTTCCCATAAAATTCAGTGAATATCATTAACAAAACAAAAGAGGGCTGTGCCCCCGAAGCCACGGTTAGCTAGGAAAAAAAATTACTATTTACACGACAAAACATCTACTCAAATAAGTATAAAAACTTAAAAGAAGAACGTCTGCTGGGACACCTGCTGTACAGAGAGCTTACCTAAAAGTGTCAGTTCTAAAAGTAGCCGATTCTCTGTGGCTTTTAGGCGGCTGTAGCTCCCGTTTCTTCTTTCGCTGTTTGAATTTGGCGGCGGACCACAGAATCCACAAAGGCACGCGTCACCACGCCCTACGCAGTGTTACGTGACGTAAAACGATGCGTCACTACGTACAGTTTTACGTTAATGGGATTCACGTTGAAATGTGACTAGGATTATCGTGTCCGAATAAGATTCCAAGATGTTTCTTCTTGAAATATATATTTTAAAATGATCTGTTAAGGTCTGTATTTTCAAAATAGTTGTAAAAAAATACTTAGGATCACAAGTTTGTAATACTAGATTCCTCTATGGCTTGTTGATGCCTACCAAAAGTCGTGTTGTGACTTGCAAAGGGACATTTAGCTAAGTATTATTGGGGGTCTATGTTTATATTTGAGCCTGTATGTGTAATTGGGATCCTGTGTGGATTAGGGAAAATCCAAAATAAATTTAACATGTGCACCTAATTCTTTTAAAAAAAAAAGTCATTAAAGATTTATGCTGCACAATCATTTCACCCTGGAAAAATAACAGCTTAAAGAAATCATCAAAAGCCCCAAATTACCATGGCATTTATGCCCATGATGAGTGTTTGTAAACTGTCTCTCAAACACCGTCACATTTTCTAGTAAAGAAAAATTACGAAATGTTTAGCAATAAACCTTATCTTTTCCAGGTAATATGTCCAGTTTTTATTGACTTGGCATGAGATTGGTGTTGAAGCAACTAACAGGGGTGTTAGTAACGCTCTTCTATTGCAATACTGTTTTACCACCCAATTTACAGATAAAGGAATACATACAAATACACGTAAGAAACATTTTACAAAGCTAAGTATAACAGTGCTTTTGGACTTGGTGATGTATATCAAATATATTTAGCTGCTGGGAAATGCTAGATAGTTTGCACAGTTTTTTCCACCAACAGCACAATTATAACAGGTCACTAAATACTGTTGCTCATTTATCAAACACCATAAGGTTTTTCTTTGCTTTTGGTTGCACGTGTACACAAAAATCCACCATTGTGGCTACAAAGGGCTTGGTGACCAGCAGATGTCACTGCACACCTGCACATGAAATGCTTTCAGTATTTTGAAATCTTTGTCTTGTCCACCTCTGTAGTGATTTAGTAAAGGCATTAACAAGGCTGTAGAATAATTTATCTTTAACTTTGAATCCATTTGTCCTTCACTGATATCACTCTGTTTTATGTGTTTTAAAGTGTTTCTTTCTTTATTGGAAAGAACATAAAGAGGAGACCTTGACCCTAACAACCTAGCAGCCACTGTCCTTTTGTCTCATTAAAAGTAAATGTATAACATCATTTTAATGAGCTATGGCTGTATGGCTGTTGAGTCAGGAGGTAAAGTTCAGAGCAAATGCAAGAATTAGATTCTGAAGCATTTATAAACATTTCACAGACATGTTTATTTCTCTGGTTTGACAGCAGTTTGATAGTTTTACACTGGGTATTATCAAAGGATCAGCTTCAGCATTGAGTTACTTTCTTTTAAGCAGCTTTTTGGTTTTTAACACAATTAGTCTGACAATTATCTGTCTCTTTATTGTTTTAAAAAGCACACTGATTAATATGCAGAAGCCAGCATGAGCTATATATCAGAGTAAGTGCATGCATTTCTCATACAATAGCAGTTAAATGTGACAGTGTGAATGGTGGTTTCTGTCTGTGTCTGGTAATATATATATCTATATTTTATAATAACCAATAAAAATGATCTTACACAGAAAGACAGTTTATATTGCATTGATTACATTGGAAAGATGAGCTTTACTAGCTGCATCATTATTGTTATTAATGTTTCTGAACATATGCAGCTACCATTACCAGACAGTTAGCACAGTGTAAGACAGGAAACATGGGAAACACACTAGTCTGGTTTTAACCAAAGGTAACAGGACATTTAACTGATAAGTTATACCCTGATTGTATAACACATAGAAAAACTAACATACTGTGAGTTTTATGAGTTGATTACCGTTAGACTAACACTACCTAAGTGTTTCACTGAAGTTTCACTCTGAGCTAAACTAGCTAGCTGTTTACATAACAGAAATACACTATATGGACAAAAGCTTTAGGCCACACCTATTAATCTTTAAATTCAGGTGTTTTCAGCCCTGCTGTCACAGGTGTATAACATCAAGCACCTAGCCATGCTGTCTCCCATTACAAATATTTGGGAATGAACATGTTGTGCTAAAGAGCTGAATGTGAGTTTGATCGGATATTTCTATTACAGGAAGTCACTTCCTGAAGTTGTTCTCCATCTAGATAGTACACAGTCAGCTGTAGTATTATTGTACAGTGGAAGTGTTCAGGAGCCACACAATGTAGCAGATCATATGAAGTTAAAGTGTAGTGCATGAAAGTCGGCAGTGCTCTGCTCGCTCAGTAACTGCAGAGGTCCAAATGTCCTCTGGCATTAACATCAGCACAAGCTGGGAGCTACATAACGTGAGTTTCCATGGCTGTGCAGCTCCTGTAGGTGTAGTGTATATGTAGCCCTGCACTTTTGTCCATATAGTATATATGTATATATATTCATTGTTTATACATTGGGAAGAAAACTTAAATGTAGAATAGATGTATCTCTCATCACATCACAAAATTAAATAGAAGGACATAATAATGGATAATCAGAGTCTTTTACACACAGAGTAGTGGCGTTATCTTCATGGCTTGTCTCGTTTGGTGATGTAGAGAAGACTGGTTATTTTGAGCACAACTTACTTGCAGCACTGTTAAAAGAGATTTAAAATATTAGAAGGTCTGGGTTGTAATCAGTCAGTCTCTGTACTCCACATGTGTATTCTGTGCGTTACCTTTACGATTTTCCTCCACCTTGAAACAACAGCAAGAAGAGCAGTGAGGCCCACAACCACCAGCCCAGCTATCATGGGCCCCAGTGGGAACTTCAGGGTTTTGTCTGTAAAAATGAAGATTAAAACATTAATAACCAAGCCATAATATCATGCACTGATTTTTATAATCCACTTAACTTAATGTGGAGATGTGGCTTGGGTAGCATTGCAGAGTGCTGATCTAGTGAGCTCACCTGTTATTGTGACTTGGAAATGCCTGCTGCTACTTCCATACATAGGAGAGTCCACTGTGCATGTGTACATGCCTCCATGCAAGGTTTTCTTCACTTTGCTGGATGTCAGCTGACTTGTTAAGCCATTATTGATCACAGAGAGGCCATCTGCTAGTAGATCCACCAGGCTTCCATTTAGTGACCATGTCACAGAGGAGACAAGTGGATTGGCCCTTGTGTCACACTCCAAGACAAGGTCATCCTCTTCTTCAACTGTAACTTCCACTGTTTCAGAGATATTTGGGGCGACTGAAAAATGATCAGTGCAAATATTAATGCTTGTGAGATTATTGAAGTAATTTTTTCCAGATAGATGCACATCAACGTAACCAACCTAGCAGCTACACTGATTCAAACCGGAATATTCCATGACCAGCCTGCCATTAAAATTTGCACAGGTATGTTGGGTGTGTTTGTATGATTCCATCCCTCCCTCCTCTTAAAATGGAAATTCCCTGTTAAAGTGCTGTTGTCATGTAGGAATGTGACCACAGAACAACTAGTTCAAATCTTTTCAAAAACCCAGATGTCAGTTTACTATAAAGACCCAAACGTTGTACTCATGATCACTGATAATCGTGGACAAATCAGGGCTAGAATAAAGATGGGATCGTGGTCAGTTCCTTCCAGTCACGCTTCCTGCAAGTCCACTTGAATGGTCCATGCGTAGTTTGGTGTTTTCCATGGTCGAGACTAGTCATTCCACTCCGAGTGGGCACGAGGACTACTAGTATAATATGTTAAAGATCTACATATTGTGGTGCTGTACTTTTTCCCTGAGATCAGTGAAAAATATATGAACTAACAGGTAACGAACCCTACTTTGGTTGGTCCTTTAGTTTAAAACCTGTTAAATGCTAATGACCCCAGTACTGGGGGCAAGATGGAAAACATCAGGTTTCACGAGATGTGCCGCCACATTTGTTTTTTAAAATATAAACATCTGTGGCATCCACAGAAAAATCAAAATGTTTTGTGAGCTCAAGGCTCAAAAACATTTTCTACGATCACCAAACACAGCTAAAACAACATATAATTAAAGAGCAAGTAGACATGTAGCAAAACTGCATGTTTCATCACGCTCCAACCAAAGTTCTCTGAACCAGCAGCAAAACAAGACCAAAATTATGCATCCCACTTGAAAAACATGATGAATTTTGTCCTACCTTTGCTTTCTTTCTTTCAAAACAAATCCACATAAAAATGCATTTCCTGAATACTTCCATCTTTCAATGTGCTTTGTGTTCTGTCTTATTTGCTTGTTTACACACAGATAAATTACAGCCTATGGCAGCATATTTTCTTCTATATTCTGTTTTATAGAATATAACCCCTCCGTGTCCAGGATGTGCACATCAGCATCACTGACAGGGTGGCTGCTGGCCTGTAGGTCTAAACAGACTGCAGAGTCCTGGCCTGATGAGGTAGCTTTTCTGTGTTGTGTCATCAGCTTAGAGGTTGTTTGATTTCACTGATGTATAATTTTACAAAAATGCTCCTTGTACTTAAACACATAGACTAGATCCTTGGGGTGGAAAAATTTTCTGACGTAGCATGTTTTTTGGTTTGAAAGCCACAGAGACGCATTGTTTAGAGAAAATGTGTCTCAGGATCACCAAAAGGTTTTCGTTTAGGCATGGGTTGTAATTCTCTCCTCAAGTATTCTTTAGGTGGCTTCCTGGCTGGTCAAATGTCCAACTGGGAATGCCACATCTACCCAGGGCAGTTTTGATATGATGTTCTTCTACAGCCCTACCTGGCATGTTTGCGAGGATGTCGTTTGCTCTGTGTTGTAGTGTCCTGATGACAACCTGTTTATGCTCCAGAGTATGATGACAATCCAACCTTGAATACTGATACATATTAAAGATAGTGGTGCAACGGATCCAAAATCTCACGGTTCGGATCGGATCACAGTTTTAAGTCATGGATCGGATAAATTTTCGGATCAGCAAAAAAAGACAAAAAGACAAAACTTTAACTCGCCATTTACTTATTTAAGTATTTTTTGGCTATTAAAAAACATTCAACTCAAGACTCATTCCACGCAATTATATAAAAACAAATTAAGGTGCAATATAGGGCAGTACAGGGCTTTGTATTTACCACTCCGCTGCGATATAATGAGCAGTCACGGTCACGAAGCTTTCCGTTGCCCTGGAGGTCCACCCATTTGTAGTTAGGGCAACAGAAGATGCCTGGAACAGTTCAGGCATAACTTTAGACTTTTCCTGCTCATACATGCTTGGAACAATCTTGTCACTGAAGTGGACGCGCAACGGGATATCATAGCGTGGCTCAAGCATGTTCATCATAGTTTAAACCCCTTTTTTTGCACAACGGAATACGGCCTTATAATAGTTTTAGCCCGGTCGGACTGGGCAGCAAAGGGCTGCTTAAATGCTGGAAACTCCTCTGCTCCTCCACTTGGACTGCTAGCGCTGGCCATAACTATGGCTTGACAGACTGACCACGCACACCATACACATACAGTGATCCGTTGCCCCACTATTTAAAGATCATAAAACTGAACTCACGCCCCGTTGTCAGTCAGTGTGATAGTTTTGGTCATTATGCAGTTATATTGTTTCTGATTCCTAACTTGGCTAAATATGCAATTAATCTAAAAGTGATTCAGTATTGGCTGGGAGTATT